ACTGTCGTTTGTGGTTTCGGAATCTGTCTGTTGTGATTTTGGGCACTGTATTTTGACCCCCACGACTGGTCTTGAGTGGGGGAGTTTGCCTACGGTCTCAGCGTTTTTGTTTCAGGTCGTCCTCCCACCCACCTCCCCCAGGCCTCCTGCCCAAGCCCGCCTGCCGGGGCCCCCGTTCCGTTCTCAAGGTTTTTCCCCCAGAGCCCCCGCCCGCCCCGGCCCCCGGTTCCGTCTCCAAGTTTTTCCCTTGAGCCCGCCTGTCGGGCCCCCGTTTCCGTCTCAATTTTTTTCCCCCAGAGGCGCCCCCTGCCGGCCCCCGTTCGTCTCAATCCTCCCCCCGCTTCTGTGTCGAGAGGGTCCCCTGCCCGCGTCCTTCGCTACGAACTGGCCTTGGTCTCTTGGCTTCGGGCCACCTTTTGCCCACAACCGGTTCTTTAAGAGGTTACCTTCTCGCTGTTCCTCAACCGGGTCTGGGGGCCGCTATTTGTCTACTACAACTCCGGGAGGTTTGCTTTGTCCTGTTACCCTAAGCCGTCCCCGGGGCCAGTTTTCTCCATTCAGCCGCCACTGGCGGGTTGCCCTTGGTCCCTGGGTTCCCCGCGTGTGGGCCCGTCCCCTCCTCCATCAGGCGCGCCCCGGAAGGTTGGCCGTTGTGTCGCCCTTTGTTAATCCCCAACGTCCTTTTGGCGTTCTTCTTCACTTCAGCTGCCCCCGAGGGTTTTTGCGTGTCCTTTATCCTGAACCCCATATTCACCCCTCCTGGAGGCCTCTCCTTTGAACTCTCAACTGGAACTCCTCTCACTGAACTTCTCCCTGAGAACTCGCCCTTTAAACCTTACCTCTGAAACTCTCCCTTGAGCCTCTCCTTGAGGCCTCCCCATCCCTCCTGAGCTCTCCACTGAACTCTCCCTTGGAGCTGTCTTCTCTGAGGCTCTCCCCTTGAGCTCTCACTGAAACTCTCTCTTGGAAGCTCTCCAATGAACCTCTCCCTTAGCTCTGCCTTTGAGCTCCTTCCCCCTTGAGCCTCCCCCACCTGACTCCTCACAGAACCCTTACCCTTGAGCCTCTCCAACTAGCTCCTCCGCCTGGTTCTCCCTTGAGCCCTCTCCTTTGAGCTCTCCTATGAACTCTTCCACTGAGCTCCTCCACTGAAGCTCTACACTGAACTTTCCCAGTAGAGCTCTCGACTAAACTCTCCCTTTGGAGCTCTCCTTGAGGCTCTCCACTTGAACTCTCTCTTGAGCTCCTCCACTGAGCCTCTCTTGAACTCTTCACCGAACCTTCGCCCTGAGCTCCTCCACTGAGGCCCTCCCCATGACCACTTTTCTCCTGAACTCTCCTCTGGAACTGCTGGCCAACCAAACGGTTGTCTTGGGATCCCGACCTCAGCCGACCTCTCGGTTGCCCTCTTGCTCCACGACAGCGGCCATGCGGCTTGTCCGTGAGCCCCTTGACCGCAGCCGACTTTGTCAGTTGTCCTCTGCTCACGACCTCAGCCGCCATACAGCTGTCCTTGAGCCCCCTGACCGCAGCCGACCTTTGGCGGTTGACCCTCTGCTCTCGCACTCAGCCCTCGGCCCAACGACTGTCCTGAGCCCCCCCCTCGACGCAACCAGCATGTGGTCTGTCCCTGAGCCCCTCGACGGCCAACCCTGCCATTCGGTAGACCTCGGCTTGTTCCTAGCCTTGGTACCCATACCCAGGCCATGACTTCGGTCTTGTACCGACATTCAGAGCCAAAGACCTGGCCTTTGTACCTAACGACCCGGCCGGTTGACCTCGCCACCGACCATTCCACCCAAACATGCCTTGTACCGACATTCCAGCCAAAGCCTCCACCTTGTACTGACGACCCCGGCCGTGACCCGGCCTTGGTAACGACGCCCGCTACCTCGCCGTTCGGAACCTTGGGACCCGACACATTCGGGTCCAATTACCTCATACCTCGTACCTACACACCCGTCATGACCACTGCTAGGTACTCAACACCCGGCAAACCCTCGTCCCGCTTGGTACCCCGACGACCCCCCCGGCCCGTGACCCCTCGCCTTTTACTGACGACCCGTTTGCCTGGCTTTGTGCCCAGAACCGACCACCCACATGACCTGTGCATGGTACGCCGATACACCACCCATACCTCCGTGCCTTGGTACCGATGACCCAGGCCGCAACCTCGGCCTTGGTACCGCACAACCCGCGCCTTGGGACCGGAACGCAGAGAATCCTCAAAAAACCTCCGAAGCACCTGGAGGTTTGCGGTCTGGTCTGCGGTCTTTCCAGTTTTTACTCCCTTGACCGAGAGTCCCGATGCACTTTTTTAGGATTCGGTGAGCCCGGGTTTATCGAGGGTCTCGGTGGCCGAAACGCTCGTTTGGAGACTTGCACGGAGAAGTTGTGTCGGGAGGGAGATGGGGCAAGGATCTACTCCGCGGAAAAGTGCATATTTTTTTATATGGGTCTCTCATGGTTCCTTGCAAGGCGGAAATCGTTAGTTTTCCAGACGACCCAGGTAAAGGACCATTTCAAAAGCAGACAATTTGCTAAGGTTTCCGTAAATTTCATTACATCCTGGGTTACGGTCTGTCCCTCCGTTTCTTCCCCCATTTTCCATTAACACTCTTAATGAAAAAATAAAAAGGTACTAAATCGTTTTACTTGTTTTTTTCCATTAGGGTGGTTTTGAGGGTCGAGCTCTACTTTTTTTGTCTCCTGTTTTACTTCCGCGAGTGGTGCGGTTACTCCTTTAGTTTGGTTTCTCAAAAGGGTTTTCGTATCTGCGACTTGTACTGTTATCTGGTTTCTGCTGACTGTGACTTGTACCCCCCTCCTGTCCCCTTAAATTTTTTGTGTCCCATTGGTCCGTTGTCCACCTTTTTGTTAGTCCTCCCGCCCCCGGGACTGTGACTTACCCCCGGTTTGTCCTCTTGTGTTGCTCCTTCACCTGTTCCAACTTTTTGTTAGTCCCCCTTAATTCTTGTGTGGTCCCTTGATTGCTGTTCTTGTAACCTTTTGTTTTGTGTCCCCTTTTTTCCTGGTCTTTTGTTATAATCCTCCTTTTTGTAACTGTTGTGGGTTTGGGACTGTCTGTTTGATTTTTGGGACTTTGTATTTGGGAACCCCCACCACTGTCATTTTGGGGGTTTTGGTACGGGATGATCCCTTTACGGGTGGCTATTATAAGGCCGGTGGCCTTTTAAATATGCCGGGCTTTTTACCAAATTTTTTCCGTAAAGGCGAAAAAGCCTTTGCTTTCCCAAAAAAAATTTCCGTTGGCTTTTTTATAGTTTGGCTTTTACAGGTCTTCTTATTGTCCCAATGGCAACTGTATAGGGCGTATAAACGGCCCAACAAAAACTAAAGTTCACCACCCCTCATTTTAGGGCTTTCACCACTTTCAGAACGTTCAATGTAGGGGGAGGCTCCTTTACAGGGTCGAAACCTTTGTGCAAAATGGTTAACGGTAGGCGCAGAAGAGAGAAGACTATAAAAAAATTATAGAGGGTCGCCGTCTGGGTACCAACCCGACACCCTCGGTTCGGGGCTGTACCCAGGTGGGCGGCGGGCACGGGGACAGCGGCGCCAAAAACTAATGCAGTTAGTGTTTGTTGTGCAATCCAATGTTTTGAATATCCAGTAAAACAACAACAAACTTCCGGCCGACCAATTTGTTTCAGAAAATAAAATTGTGAAGAAAACAACATCCGATGGAACCCGGATCTTACAAAATACCCGTCAATTTCGTGGAACCGAAACAAAGGACTTACGTGGAAAAACCAACATCAAATTAGGATGTCTCTTTTTCTTTTTACGGTTGGAACTGAACCCTTAATTAACCATGACAATCACGTTTACAGGTTCAACACTATACCAAATACCTGGGGTACCTTTAATCAACTGATAATAAAATTCAAAAATCTAAAAACGGTATTAGTACAGAAAAAGGTTATTAGTCCATTTGTTTACATATGTTATTATATAAAATATATAAAGATAAATTGGTAAAAAAGCCGGGAAAAAGCCGTTTTAAGCCAAAGCCGGTTGACAAAGGTTAAAAGCCCAATAGCCAAAAGGCCGGTCTTTTAAAGGGTAAAAGCCCACGTTGGGGATTACCGGGATGTGTAGTCACTTTCAACTCCAAAAAAGGTACGTTTTTCCAAAATGTAAAAATCTACAAAAAATTGTGAATTCTGCTCGGGGGGCTCGGGGGGGCGGACGCCCGGAAGTTTCTCCATTCGCAAGGATTTTACCGAATTTATTGAAAAAATTTGGCGATAGGGATAGTGGTAGATTTAATTTTTCACTCCATTTTCCGCCGAATAAGAGTCCGGAAAAAGGGTGACCATAGTATACAAGGAAAAAGCCCTTAAGGTCTCCGAAGGCTGGGCCACCTAGCCCCGTTTGCAAAGTAGGTTGTAACCATTTGGTCGGAACTAGGGCAGTTCCTCTGGCGCCGGGTAGGGCAGACCTTCGGGGTTTTTGTCGTTTCCAAAAAT